CCTGCTGAAGAGAAGGTAGTGGTATACTGCCTGTTTTTGTCAAATATCTGGATGAGATAGAACCTTCTATGCAATTATCATAGAATCATATCATAGATAGAATCACAGAATGGTTTGGGTGGGAAAGGACCTTAAAGATCATCAAGTTCCAACCCTCCTGCCATGGGCAGGGACACCTCCCACTAGCCCAGGTTGCCCAAAGCCTCATCCAGCCTGGCCTTGAACCCCTCCAGGGATGGGGCATCCACAGCTTCTCTGGGCAACCTGGGCCACTGCCTCACCACTCTCACAGTGAAAAATTTCTTCCTAATGTCTAGTCTCAATTTCCCCTCCTTTGTGCCAGTCACCACGTTGTCTTAACTGGGCTCCTGAAGAACGGCTGCAGCGTTGGTAAGGTGACTAAATGCCAGGTGGCTTTTAGGGGCCTCAGGGACAGCTGTTGACCTTGCAATATTTTAAAAGCTGGGGTCTTATGTGGTTTATAACTCAACTTATTGGTAGCCTCTGGCCTCATAGAACTGTTCTCTGCGTTGTCTTACCTGTTAGCTTTCACAAATGCCCTACTGAGAGGAAAGCCGCAGCAATGCTTTGGTTAGTGAGTCCTTTCGGCTTCTCTTTGACAAGCAAAATGCCCCTTCTTATTAGTAGGATCGTTCCCAGTCATTTTTGGGTAGAAAAATAGCAACACAAGTGCAGAAAGGCATTTTTGTCCTAACACTTCCTTTTAATGCAGGGCAGCACAAGTGATAAATTGCAGAAGAAGAATCCTCATCTGCCCGGGCTGTGACACACCGGTTCTGCTGTAGAAGAAATCATGCTTTACGTTATAGAAGTAATAGATATTCAAAACATTTTTAGATGTTAAACTGTTCATCTCGCTAACACGGTTAAATGTGCATGGCTTTTTTTTCTCTCTAAATTAAAGTTGAAAATCAAGAGGGATCTGTAAATGGCTTATGATTTCCTTGGGGGTTTGGAGCATTGTCCTTTTGCAATGGAACTCGAGCTGGTAGGAATCTGTAATTGCTGAGTAATCCTCAAAGGAAACACCCCAGTATCAGGATTACACTTGTCAGGCTTTTGTTCTTTATCGGTATTAATGTTACCATACGCCTTTGTCTTCCGACAGTACCGAAGCCCGCTGAGTGTCATTGTGCCCTCAACAGCTGCTGGGCAAGTTCTGCTCTGTTAAGCCTGGTTTACTTTGTCATTTTTAAGCGTGGATAATTTTTTGCCGTTTACTTGCATGTATTTTTTTTTTTTCAAACCATGACGACTTCATTTGCTAAAGCTTTAAGTTACTAAAAAAAATCTTTTGGGGTTAATTCAGGTTAGTGGCGCCTCAGGCACTCTCTGCACAGCCCGTATCTGTGGGAATCGGAGGCGGATGAGGTCCAAGAACTGAGCTGGGAGACGTGGTGCTGGAAGGAGGTGTTCTCTTTCCATCTCTTCCACCGTCTGTCTTGGTAATATGTTACTAAAAAGGATTTGCCTCACAGCATCTTAGATGTGAAATTGTATTGAAAACCAACAAAAAAAAACCCAAACCCAACCAAACAAAACCCCCAGGCAAACGGCAAACCAAAGCCCAGTCCACACAACAGCGAGCCCTCCAGTAATTCCCAGCAGCGAAGGGAGACAGAGGAAGCTCTGAGAAACGAGTTCACATTTGCACAGCTGAGTTAGCGTCAGACTGAAATTAGAAGCTCGGTGTCCTGATTTCCAAACCCGTCCTGAGGGTGTTTTTTGGCTGAATTCAAGTCACTGATCTGAGCGGTCTGAGCCTTGGTTTCCTACGAGCGTCTTCACTTACGATGTGGGCTGCTGAGTCCTGTCTATCTTTATGATTCTTTTCTCTACAACAATGTATTCTTTTATCCGCAACAATTTATCTTTTGTCTTTTATTTTCACCTAGCTCTAAACAGCTGATGAAACTGAGAGCCCATTCATAGCTGGAAGTTGTTGTGGCGCAGTTCAGCGGTCTCACTGCTGGCTGGGAGAACCACAGGCACAGTCTGGACGGGACCTGGTGTTAAATTATCTGCCGTGAATGTTGTGTGGGTAAGGCGTTTGGCTCGGTAGCTGCCACAGATAAAACTGCAGAGAGCTTTATCTCCTTAGCCAAATTCTTTTTAG